TTTGGGTCCTTCGTGTGATACGTTCTTTGGGACTCCTCTCGTCTCGGCTCCTCTCGTCCGCCTTCCCTGGAAGGTCGGTGAGAGTGCCTTCCGCTCCTGGTGTGCTGAGGGACTTCGGGGATTGTTCTTCTTCCTCCCTTCTGGGCATTGGTTGCTGGCATCGGTGTGTCCTGCAGCGGGTATGGTGGCTGCATGACATTATTTTGCATCATGAAGTTGACGACCGACTGTAGGTCCGCCAACTTGTTTGCCAAGTCTTTTACTTCCTCATCCCTCCGTAGGCACCTATCTCTCCATATCTGAAGGTTATCTTCGTTATAGTACTTGCTTTGGTCTGAAGCGTCATTCTCCTGGCCGACGTCTTTCTCTCTGTGGCCCTGGCCATGAGTTTCTGTGTTGTGGTTGTTTCCTTCAACGTCAAGATCAATTAGTCTGCTACTCCTAACAGGAGTGTCGCCCCCAATGTTTTCCCTCTGTCCGTCACTGGCCCATCTATTCTTCTAAGATTCCCACAGACGGCGCCAAATTGTGTGGGTAATTTTGACCACACCGCCCGCCTAGTAATCAGCTGGAGAGCACCGGCAGAATAGATGGCTTCAACAAACCTGTAACAGAAAGAAAAGGCTCCGGCGGTGGCTCTTCCACCCGGGGTCACTCCGACAATCAAGTCAGTATATCTCTCAAAGATAATCAAGTGCTAAACTCACAAGCTTGAGTATAAAACTGCGTATCTTAGACCCATGGGAGTGTCTCTCTTTTATAGCCAACATAAACCTAGTCCTAATAGAAGCCAAACTTCTATGGACTCAGGATTACTGCTAATCTTAGATTCCCAGTAAGATTAGGATAAACTCTCTAAGAGTCTCATCTTTACCCAAACTGAAGTCTTCTCCCAATCTAGGACTCTTGTCCTTTATCCGCTTATCTCGGATTCCGATATCTTCGGAGATAACCTCGGCCTTGCCGAGATCACCTCGGCATAACTTCCTCGACACGTGGCACCTCGGCTGACACGTCGGCGTCACCATGCCACGTGTTGGTATTCAGAAAATACATCCCCACAAATAGTTATCTAAGTGATAGCGCACATCAAAGGCTCAATTGGTCTATGACTAAACAAATGTATAGACTCAAGGAGTAGATTGTACCGATTCTAAGAGTAGTTCTCACATAGTGTAGCATATAATTCCACACAGTTATCGAAGCAACAAACATAAGGTCACCACAATGGTTATTATCAAGGCATGGGACATGTGTGATGGTAATTACACAAATATTTACTCGTATTACTAATTATCAAATTATTATCAAAATCATATTTAATAAACAGTTTTTCCATAAATTTTTGTTCTTACACAAATAGGTTCATAAACAGTTATATCTACGAATTTCTTTTTCACTCAAATAAAGTTCAATAAATAATATATTTGAAACAATCACATACATTGCAAATCATAATTTACATAAAACAATTTATGACAACTCAAAATATAATACAACTCACTTATGTATCGAAATACAGTTCTAAATTCTTTCCAAAATTTATGAAAACCGGATACAAATTGAACCAATTGACTGCGAACCCTCGCTCTCCCACTCCGCTTTCTCCATTTCTTTTCTCTTCCACTCTTCATTTCTCCATTTCTTCTCCTCTGCATACTAAACTTATGCCTATATATATATACTAGCGGTTGCCACACGCGATGCGTGTGTAATTTAAATAAATAAAAATAAAATAAGACATTTATCATATATTGTGTGTTAGTAAAGTGGTAAGAATCTTATTCATTTGACATAAGTCTAAGGTTCAAATCTCTTCTTTTCATCTATCTAATTTTTTTTTTTAATTTCAAATAAAAATGTAGACACGTGGCAGCATAAAAAATAAAGGTTTCAAGACACCATAAAGAGTGTTCACTTTATAATAATATAGATAGATAGATAGATAGATATGCAAATATTTGCATGCTATATATGAGACATCTGGCTTTGAACAAAAATGTCTTCAACAAATGCCTTGCTATTTGCATGTTATGCAATGTCTCGAACAAATTCAAGCTGGCAAATTGCACTTTTACAAATTATACTTTGGCCTCAAACTTTATAATATTTATATTATGTTGTAAAATTATATTTTACCCTAATTACAAAATTACATATAGAATTATTATATTTTTTTTCATTTGTAATTAAATAATACTAATACAAAATTAAAGAATAATTAAAATTTTGAGTTGTTACAGTAATAGTAATAATTTTCTTTAATGAAACATGAAATTTATATAAACATATGGGTTTCTATAAATTTATATATAGAGTGAATTATCATTATTAATTGAAAAAGTCTTAGATCACAAAAATCGATAACAGAATTAGACACAACTCTATTGAGTTCTATTTTTTTTTGTGAGTCTCACGCTCATATAAAATGATTATATCCAATTCTATAATTAATTTTTATATAAGTAAAAGACTTGTATGATAGAAACTAATATAAATGCACACTTTATAGACCAATTACTCTTATATGTTTATTTTTGTTAGTATATTTAATTAAATTAAGAATGCAATGCCAAGACCATCTTCCCAAACAGAAACATAGGCTAATGAGCTATGCCCTATGGTTTTCTAAGTAGGGTTGGGCATCATACTCATAATACATACAAATGAATCTTGTGGCATAATAGGTTGGTCTAGTGTAACTTGTTATAAGTTAAAATTAATAATTAAAAAATAGAAATTAAAGCACTTGTGCCCCAAATTTTTACATAATTAACTTATTTAAATTATTTTTATCTAATAAATTATGAGTAAAAATACATCAAATAGTTTGACACATATTTTGAAATAGCTACTTATTCTGTACCAAACACACATTAGTTTGCAAAGCTATGCCCAGATCTCTCTTCAAAGGAATCAAGAATTACCTACAAGAGACGCAAAAGAATCCCCATTATCATCTCCTACTATCAAACTTCATTAGCACTGGCAGTGATTCTCAGTCTCCCCGAGGAAATGACTTCAAATCATGGACCAATCTCATTTCATTTCTCGCCCAAAATGCCACAAACTCAGAGATGGCAATGGTTGAGTCCTCTCAAATGCTCAACTCTGGTGCCAAGCCTAATGGCCATGCTCTGGTCCACCTGTTCCGAACATGCGCAAAAATTGGTTGCCATTCTTATGGCCTACAGCTTCATTGCTACGTCCTTCGATCTGGGTTTGTCACCAATGTGTTTGTCTCCACTTCCCTCATCAATTTCTATCTGAAATTTGAGTCTTTGAATGATGCCCATAAAGTGTTTGTTGAAATTCCTCAACCAAGTGTAGTTTCTTCGAATTCTTTGATTTCTGGGTATGTGCATTCTGGGCTGTTTTCGAAGGCGTTGAGTGTGTTTGTTAAGTTGGATAGGTCTGAGATTTGTGCTGATTCATTCTCATTTACGGCCACTTTAGCTGCATGTGGGCAACTAAGGTTTTCACAATTGGGGAAATCAATTCACTCCAAGATTGTGAAAGTTGGTGTGGAATTTAGTGTTTTTGTTGCAAATTGCTTGATTGACATGTATGGAAAATGTGGGTATGTTAAAGAGGCGATCTGGGTATTCAACGAGATTACTGATAAGGATATCATTTCTTGGAATTCAATTATCGCAGCAAGTGCTAGGAACCGAAAACTTGAACAAGCAGTCAGTTTTTTTCATCAGATGCCGAATCCTGATATAATTTCATATAATGAATTAATCAACGGAATTGCACAGTTTGGGAACATGGATGATGCCACTGGGATTTTATCAAATATGCCGAACCCAAATTCATCTTCGTGGAATTCAATAATAACAGGGTATGTGAACCGGGATCAAGCACGCGAAGCCCTGGACTTCTTCAGTAATATGCACTCGAATGATATAGAAATGGATCAGTTCACATTTTCCAGCATATTAAGCGGCATTGCAAGTATCTCAGCTCTTACATGGGGGATTTTGATCCATTGTTGCACGATAAAGTGTGGTTTGGATACATCTGTTGTTGTTGGGAGTGCGCTAATTGATATGTACTCCAAATGTGGACAGGTAGAGAATGCCGAATCAATTTTTAAGTCTTTACCCAAAAGGAATTTGGTAACATGGAATGCAATGATATCCTGCTTTGCTCACAATGGCAATTCAATCAAGGTTATAAAGCTCTATGAACAGTTGAAAATGGTGAAAGATTTGAACCCTGATGGCATCACCTTTCTTAATGTCTTATCAGCATGTTGGCATAATCAAACGCCATTACAGGTTGCAAATCAGTACTTTGACTCAATGATCAAGGATTATGGGATTGATGCCACGCCTGAGCACTGTGCTTCAATGATTAGGTTAATGGGAAAATGGGGAGAGGTGTGGAGGGCAGAGAAGATGATATGTGAACTAGGGTTCAGATCATGTGGCTTGGTCTGGAGGGCTTTGCTCGGTGCTTCTGGAACTTGTGGGGATCTAAAAGTTGCAGAGTTAGCCGCTGCTAAGGTGATTGAGTTGGAGGGGCATAAGGAGTTTGTTTATGTTATGTTGTCCAACATTTATGCATCTTATGGGAAATGGAGCGAGGTGAGCGTGGTTAGAGAGCTGATGAGGCGGAGAAGTGTAAGGAAAGAAGTTGGTTGTAGCTGGATTGAGATAGATAATGTGGTAACAACTTTATCCATGTTGTGATGGGATTGATAATCTAATTGGTAAGCAGGAATTTTTCTGTGAAAAACCTGAAATTTTGATGGTGGCTGAATTGCTGATCTTGTCCTCCCGTGCAAGGTTTGAATTTGACAAAACTGCTAGCCTGACAAGAGAATCTAGTTCCCTTCGATTTGTTATGACCATGTGACTATCGTGTGATAAATGGTTTGGTGAAATTGAAAAGCAATGGTGCCTGTTGAAGCAATGGGAGTGATGACAGCTATTGGTGCTTTGTTGTGATGCCTTGGATTATCTGCTGATTTTGTGACAGTAGATCATGTGGAGCTATTTTTGAATTAGGTACTTCACAGTGAAATTGCCTTACAGGATAAGAAGCACGGATATAAACACGCAATTGCTTAAAAAAAACAAGACATGGCATGCGGAGGACACGAACCCATCATTTGAACTTGTTTCATGAAGTAAATCTGTGGAAGATATGTGCACTTATACTTTTCCCGTAACCTTTTTGTAATCAAGAGTCCAAAGAAAGCAATTTTCCATGTGTTGCTTTATCGTTACAATTTTGGCTCACTTTTATGTATGAATATAACGAACTTTCTTTGGAGATGGTAAAAATTAACAATATGATGATTATGTCAAAATGATTACTTTATTCACACCACTAAAAAAATTTAAAAAAAAATCTTACAAAAATGATGTGACAATGTCATTTTTATAAATAAAACTCATTTTCATAATGTTTTAATTTAAATTGAAAGGTCTACTTTGAGGCGCCATATACACATTACTTTGTATGAAAATTTTATGCAAATTTTATGCTCTTATATCAAGGCTAATGTCAAATTATGACATTTGCACTGTGGGAGTAGAATTACCGAAAATATTTAACATTTTTGGCACATGTCAAAATTTAAGGTAATGTTGATTTTTAAAATTCTGATTTGAGAATAGAATTGTATTTTAAATTTGTGAGTTTTAGACTTATACTTTAAGTGTAAAAAAATTGTTTGGTTATAAGTTTTGAAAAGAGTTTTAAATAAAATTTGAAAATTTTAATATGACCTATGATATTTAATTTAAAAATTTACAACTCATAACTAAATATATAATTTAAAATTCTATTCAAAGATCATAAAATTTTTTTAAAAAATTCAAAAAATATTTTTTATTTAAAATATAAAAATAACAAGTGCCAAACAAAAAAAAAAAACGAACATTGTTCCAGTTAACCTGCCGGCCTTCCAAAAGAATGACCAGGTAGATGTGTTTTCAATCGTGGGTGTAAAATCAATTTTTGAAAGCTCTCACCTGTAGACACCCCATTTTTTATCATCCTCAAGACTTGGACGTCACCGCTTGAACACTCGGTGATCATCCATGTTTGTGTTCGTCTTGAGTTCCCGGAGGTCTTGGCTGCGCGCCTTGCCTTAGAATCTCTTAACTTCTCTGTTTTGTGCTTGGTTGCACCAAGAGCTTGTGGATGTGTTCCTGAGGGAATGGGGTAGCCTGTCGACCAAGTCTCCTGCCCACCGGCCACCTTGATTTTCAATCGGCCAAATGTGATGGCCGGCCGACCAATTTGACTACCGGTCGACCACTTTGATAGCCGGCCGGCCAAATGTGGTTTTCAACAGATATCTCTGTAGACAGTTGGCAGCTGTCATTCTAGACCATACCCCAGCCCATGCCTAGACGTGGGAATTCTAAGGAGCTGCAGATTGATATATTTCTATATCAATCAAGCTCTCTTACAAGAGAGGAAGGAGGAGAGATACAACTTGGAAAAAAAAATTCCTCTCTCTCTAAAATTCTTAGCTCTCTCCCTATCTCTCTCTTCCAAACCCTTCAAACCGTAAGGTTCTTGCCCCCCTTTACACTACCACTCATAGCCTACAACCTCCATACTCCATTCCAGCAACTTGAGGCTGTTTTTCAAAGCTTAGGAACACCATTTTTCGGACCAAAAGCTGCTGGAAGTTTGGACTACAAGGGTGAGCCTCATTTCTCTCTCTTTTTGCTTTATTTTGCATGCAATCTTAGCCTTTGTTGCTTATATTTTTGGGCTCCGACCTGAACTGTAAATAGTCATATTTTGAGCTCCTTTTCATGTTTGCTCAAGGACCTCTTGCTGTTTGAGGTCTCCTCCTTCCCCCTTTGTGTTTAAACTCTCTTTTAGGCCTATTTTTGCATGATATTTTAGGCTTATTTGTGAGCTGTTTTGGACTTAGTCATAAACTGTGAAATGTCTTGTTTTGAGCCCCTCTTCAACTTTGTTGAAGGACTCTCCTCTATTTGAGGTCAGCTGCTACCACTTGCCTCTTTATCCCTCTTTTAGGTCTTTTTCTTGCATGATGATTTAGTCTCACTTTTGTTCACTTTTGAGACTTGTTATAAACTGGAAAAAGACTTGTTTTAACATCATCTTCATGTTTTATTAAGGGAGTTATTTTATTTGAGGCCACATGCTTCCTTGTATGCTTGATTGTCCCTTATTTTGAGCCTTACACCTAAGCCCCAATTGCGTGCTTTGTTTGGCCTTCTAGCCACTGAAATCCAGTGGATTTTCAGTGGCTGGAACACTGTTTTGAGAGCCAAGATTAGAAGGGGGTGACCCCCCTCTCTCCTTCTCTTGTTTGGTGGCCTTTTTGGCCTTCCAAAGAGACCCTACCTTGCATGCTTCGAAGTCACTTTCCAGAGTCAATTTGGTGAGTTTTAGGACTACCATATTTGATTTTCATAGTTGTTTATGCCATGCTAAATGTCTACCTTGCATGTGCTTAATAACTCCTTGCATGGCCCTCCAAAGTAACTCATTATTTTTGCATACCATGGTTGCATATCAGTGGTTATTTGGAACTATTTTCACATGATTTATTCACTGATTTTTACTGGCTTGGTGAGATTACATTTGCTTCATATACTTGCCATGTAAACCATGATTGCTAGTCAAGATTGCATGCTATTTTGTCCACCATGCTAGCATCTTTTGGCCATGCTTTGAAACTAGAAATGTTCATGTTTTGGGACTGCCTTGGCTCTGTCTTTGTTCTTCATAGTCAAATAATACATGTTTTGTATAGCTATAAGTCAATATATGTGCCTAGTTTTGAGTTTCGGGGCTTATAGCATGCATTGTATGACATATTTGCATGATTCGGGACCATTGGGCATCACACTTCAGTGCTAAAATTTGCATGTTCATATGCCATGTTTCATCATTTTCCATGCTTAGTTAGAGTTGCATGTTGTATCTTAGGATCGGTCCATGCATTGGACATATTTGTGTGCATTTCGGTTGCCTCATTTCCATCTTATTAGCCACTGATGTGAGTGTGGCTGAGGTCCACTCACATTGGTATAAGTCCATCATGCATTGTGTATGCCATGTTTCAATGCGTTGCGCATGTTATGTTGTTAGCATTGTGTATGCCATGTAGTTGCATTGCATGTTTGTATATTTGCTTGCATGCTTAGGTCGCATGTGCATCGTTGTGCATTGCCTCGCCTCTTGATCAACCACGATTGAGGTTGGGTCCCTTGTATGTTTTGTGTGTATTGCATTTGACATTGAAATGCATACTTGACTCTTCGGCCATCATGCATCGAAATGCGCAATTGGTGGCCCGATGGTCGAGGGCCATGCTCCCTTGAGTCCATTGCATGATAGGGGATGTAGCCATGCATATATTTGCCTGAAAATTCCATGCCATACACTGCTTGCCCTCTGCTGCTGTCAATTGCAGGTTCTGCAGGAAGCTTTGGCCGGTCGGCTAAATATAGTGCCGACCGGCCAGTAATCTGTGGCCGACAGGTTAAAAGGCGGCCGGTGATCATCCCGTTAGGCCGGTGGTATTTCTACTTGGTCGGTGGTATTTCCCAACATCCAGAGAGCATGCCCTTGGACTTTTGCAGTCCTCAGAGGAGCAGGGCAGTGAAAAACAGAGGCAGCAGTGCTATGGTAGCTTCCGGACGAGACGAGTCAAGAATGCATCATTCACGCATCCCGAGGCAGGGCTGTGGCCACCTTCTTTTGTTATTGATTTGTTAATTAATTAGAGGGTCTGTAATAATTAATTAGTTAGGATAGTTGATTCATCATTCGGACTGTATTATTCTTTTGGACCCTCCGAGCGAGGGCAATTGTGTAATAAGTGTGCGTGAATGTGTGTATGTCTTCTAACCCCACGTCTTTCTTCCCTTTTATTTACCCACTTATGATGGTAGACTAGGGCATATTTAAATTAGCATACCTTATGCTATTCATGCGTGCATTCATACATTTGTCTTGCATGCACCAGGCTCGGCACATCATGCTAACTGCATTGTGTTTCAATTCCAAATTGAATACGTGTTAGTTGTAGCATTTCACATGCCATGTTTAGAATAGCCGAGCCCATTTCTAGTTGCATTTCGCATGTGTTGCATTAGCCATCTTAAACTAGGATCATGCATATGATTACTAACTAGTTTCTGTTTTGGCTTGGAGTACTCGGTAAGCATTTATACTTTAGCATACCGCATGCGTGTAAGTGTTGCCATAACAGCATGATTACCATGAGGCTAGCTGCTTATGTGATATAACTGCTTAAATGCTTGTGGATGGAGGTTGAATTACCTAAATTGGAATAATGCATTAAAACTGTTGAGTTTTAAGCCCACTAGATAGTGGCAAAACCATCTTTTCTAAAGCCCACTTGAGGATGGCAAAACCTGCATTTTAGTCTACTTGCGAGTAGCAAACCATCTTCAAAACGAACATGTAATGTTTTGTTCCAATTTAGGCGATTTGGTCTATACTTGTTTGCTGCGCGCATAACATAGTAATTCTAGGCTAATAAATGGAATAAGAACACATAACGTTTTCAAAACTGGATATCATAGTTAGTAGAGACCGATCTTCGGATCGTGCGAGAGGGGGTGCTCATAGCTGACCTTCCCCAATCGTACTCAAGTTCCCGAGCCGAGGCAACTTTGGTGATGACGGGCACGTGGCCTTTGGCACCGAGTCAGGGTTTCCTAAATTCTCCCAAAATAAAATATTTAGGTGGCGACTCTGTATCTGGCAAAGAAGTCCATATTTGGCACTTCTTTTCTAAAAATCTGTTTTCTCAAAACAATTTGCTGGATTTGGACTTTTTGGTTCAAATTAAGAACCGTGACAATTTGAGAGTCCTGAACTGTAGTGAACCCAAAACGAACAGAACGGGGGACTCGTCTTCCCGGGACGTTCGGGGACGTCTACATCACCAAACACCACACTCAAACTAAGGGATTGAATTAATTTTACAAAGCTCTACCAAACATAGACTAAATTTCACAATGCAATTTTAGGGCATCTCTAATGCTGAGTAGTCAAAATAGCATGCTACATTACTACTATTTTTACAATTTCTTCACAAAAAATCGAATGCAAATGACATTTGAAATTCCCATCAAAAGAGAGAAAACTCCTGCTAAAATTTGACAAACTATCAAAATTTGAAAATTCAAATGACAACTGCATTTGAATTCTTTCTTCATCCAATTGAAATTAATAATAACCCATTAGATATGCTCTCATTTAACCAACAATTAACATTAAACATCAACCATTTGGAACAAAACTGCGGGTTCTTGGCGAGAAATAAAAGAGACCACTCCAAAGGGCAATAAGTGATTAAGCAACTCAGAATTTAGAACAATTTGGACGTCAACACTTCACAACCAATTAAATAACATATAAAAATAATAAAGGCTAGTTCTTCGTACTTATTTTTCACGTAACACGTCCATCAGAGTTGTGCATAATCAGAATTAGTTTTTCAGCTATGTAAAATTCAAGCAGTTCTCCAAAATGGATGAGAATTTGTCAGGATGAATTACAAAACCTTGCTTTTTCCAATCATGTGAAGACAACTTTTTTCTCATAGCAACCGTCTCTGCTAACAGTCACCTTGGAACAGACTCACCAAGCTCTGATTCACCAAACAAACAAAACTTGTATCAAAAACCAATAATGTAAACCAACCTGATACATGATGGTTATTAATTAGACTTCTGGACACCCAAAAATATGAAAGAAAAAATGAAGTTAAACCCAACCCCCATTTCATTAGCATTCAAATGATTTTGCTTCCAGAAGATTATACAAATCGCTACATATCTATTCCATAAATGATGTATGACAGGACATGTGATCTATTGAGTTCTGTGGAAATCCTTCCAACTAAGAGCAAAGATGACAGAGCCCACCTCCAGAAATGGCACAATGTCTCACGTTCCATCAAATTCATCTGGAAAAGGAGCAGGCTTTGTTACTAATGGCATTCATATTAACTATACATGATCTCTCAATGCATCACATTCAAACTAAAACAGATGTTCATAAATCTGGTTTTGGTTGTCCGATAATTTCTTTCTTCAGACCCAGCTCTTTCAGTACAGATCAAGATAAATAATGGCAGTGACGCCACAAGCATAAACTGTAGACCCAAACACATAGTATCTGTCACATAATGACATTTAATGTACGGCAAAAACAAGCCTCTCAATGCTTCATGAATATAACCTGTTATTCCTCCTCAAAAACCCACCCACACACTCTCTCAGAATACACAAAGCTAAAATTTTGGTATGGGGTTCTGGCCCTAACCTTTCTCTTGGGTTACAAGAATCCTAAATTTAGGGAAGTATATGGATACACTTCCTTTGTAATCCATACAGAACAGAAAAAATACATCCAAAGAATAAATGCTTATAACATCATCATGCAAGAAATATGTCTATCGCTAATATATGAAATTGAGGTTAATATGCAGAAAAATTGGAGGTCCAACCAAGCACTAAAAATCAAAAAGACAAACCTAAACCGTACCATGATTGAACAACATGAATCACATAATGGAATAATTAAAAGTACACTTGCAAGACAGACAAAATTACTTCCACCAAAGAAAAGAGATTCACAGGTCTTAGATTTAAAGGACTGGCAGTTACTTCAGGAAAAATTGAGAGGATATATGCAATCAATACAATGTGCAAATCGTTTAAACTCTCGAAGTATGTCAACTCCCCCACACCCTAAATCTACCCAATACATAATTTAATGGTTTTAAACTGTTAACAGAACATTCATACTTGGTAATGAGGCACAGAATCATAATTGACAGGTCTTGTGAAATCCCAGATATTTCTTTCAAGCATGGAAATTCATGTGCCTGCAGGAACCAAATATGCCAGTCAGAAACCCGATCACGTCATTTCTCCAAGAACATTCCCAATTTGTTCACAATGGAGGTTGTCCAAAAGATTGGACAAAACTTAGGAGCGTCATATGTTTCTAACTTCAACCTTCATTTATCCAGAAAAGAAATTATCAGGTTCTATTACAGAGATTAAAGCAAAATCAAACCAGAAAAGGTCAATAAAATAATGACTGAGTGTAAAATTGGACAATCCACAATAGAATGGATGAAACTACGACCCAAATCACACTCAGATTATTGGCAAACTGTCTCCCAAAAATATATGTAGAAATTAACATGAAAGCATACCCAATTGAACATTACCACTTCTCTACTCTCAAGCATAACCAAATACGCAGACCTGCTAGAGTTCAAGTTCGGTTGCAATCTTTAACTGCTCAAATCTTGTATCAAGATTCAATTGCAAGCTTTCTGGAGCTGATAGATCAGGTCGGTCCCTCTGGTCTCTGTATTTATTAAGGTTGGCCAAATGATTCCTGATGATTTCACATAGCCTGCGAAACTCTGTTGTGCGTTTGTATTGCTTGCAGAACTGGAAGGCACGGTGTGCAGTCATCTACAGATAAAATTTGAAGTTCAGTACAGTCCACTAATTCTGTCATGTGATAAATTGATTGATTTCTACAACTCGACATGGCACACTTGTATCCCTTTGTCTGTAATACAATTTAATTTTTTTTTTTTTATAAAAAAAAATCCTCTTTTTCTCTTTTTTATGGTTAAAAATTCTGTTTGTGCAGAGACATTACCACTATATTTGGATATTGTTTGTACCACATTTTATTTTTCTATCGATTGTGGTCTATTAGATAGGGCCAAGTTCGATTATGGTTTGTCGATTGAAATTATAAACTATTTTCAAAGAATAACTTTAACCACATTTGTTTTTATTATTTCTGTCGATAGGTATGCTGACATGGCATGACAAGTATGCTAGTAACGTGGCATAGAAGAGATGACGATGTGGCTTGAAAAGATTAAATAAAGCTAATAAAGATATTTGTTGAAATCAATTAGAAACCATATGTTAAAATCGGGGGGATTAATATCAAGTCAAAGCACAAAATCTGCAAGTAGTTCCTATGAAGATACGGTATATGGTTGAATGGAGCAAAGATCAAGGAAAATCATGGGTTGTAGCTACGGCATGAAGTGACCAAGCAAGTATAAAAGAAGGACTTGAAGAATGAAAAAAGATGATCTCAATCATCAAGAATACTCGCAAAGAGTCTATCTAGGAGTAGCTTAACTTAGCATTCTAGGAGTAGTTTAAACTGGTAGCTTTTTCAACCCCCACTTCTCTTCTTTCTGTCGATTACAGTATTTCTTCAATTTTTTGTTCTTGTTTACGTTCTTGTAACTAGTGACAAGTGACAATTCATTCAAATTAATACATATTATGTTTTGTTCCATCTTTTCTTTACCTAATTACCTCCAAGGAAGTCCTTAATCTGTTTAAGGCATAAAACTCAATCACAAAGCTTGATTTTTATTTGTATTTACTTAAAGATTGGTTTAAGTTTGTCGATCAAATTATTGTCGATTAGGCTTAAACTAAATTTTTACCAACAGATACCTAGGAGAGAAAAATAAAAGAAACGATTTGTTAAGTTAGGAGAGAAAAGATTAGGATTTCTCCCCCTTTCGTTTGGTTAAGCTGGATTGGATACCATTATTTCTTTTCGCTCCTAATCTCTCCAATTTTCGAGTGATTAAAAAAAGAAATCGATTTCTCTCCATTTCATTTCTCCTCATATATCTCATCCTCTTTAGTAATCCAAACAAGTGATTGAGAAATCTGTTTCTTTTGTTTTTCTCTCCAAATCACACAATCCAAAAAGACTGTAAATGGCAAATTGAACAAAATTAGGGGAACAACAACAGTTGATGAATGATGTTTGGTAAATGGAGAAGCAAAGCAGAGCAGAGCTACTCACATCATAGTAAAATAACAAAAATGTACATTAGAGGTCGGGAGAGGTACGGCAGAGTGTACCCTGTGAAAGTGCTCTGCTATTCCTGGAAGTTGAGCTCAAGTGCGATGTCATCCTAGCTGCCGCAACCCTACTATGTAGAGGCAACAAAGACTCCACGCACCCAAGCTCTGCCAGAGTTCTATTTATTCACCACAACGAACCACAAATCAGTAGTAACAATCACAATTATCACAAATCAAAAACATCAAAATATATACATATAAAAGTATATGAATGAATGGAGTGACCTGGAGGAGAATCGGCGGAATGGAGAGGAAGTGGATCTGGATGGGAGAGGGAGCCTTGTTGAGGAAGTTGGAGGTCTGTCAATGGAAGCTGAAGAAGGTGTTCGGAGATTCGATTTAATGGCGGATTTGAGGGAAGATATGGATGTTCTGTTGATCAATCTGTTGCATTTTGAAGCCATTTCAAGACCAGAAAAAGAAGCTTCCGAGTTTCCAAGAACACCAAATTGGCGGCTTAGGGTTTTTATTTTTTTTAAGATTCAAATGAAAATGAGAACAAAGCATAGCAGCTCTTTTTTCTAATGGAGTTTGCCTGTCACGCTCGCAGTGTCACAGTGGGGTGACACAAACGCCTTGTAATTGGTTAATGTGCAATTAAGGGTATAAATCTGGTCCGGCTCGATTCAGGCCCTGGCCCGACATGGTCGGGTCTCACGGATTCCTACTAAAATTCGGGATGGTCGAAGAGTCAAAAAAATTAGGTCTAGGCCCAAGCCCAAGAATAATCGGGCCTTGGACGGGCCTGACTTTTTCTCTTTTTTTTTTTCTTTTTAAATTTTTTTTACTAAAATTTTATTATTTTTTATTAAAAAAGACACAGGGTCTTAAGTGGGTCAGGCCTTGAGTGGGCCTTAAGCAGGCAGATAGACTGGGCCACGGGTCGGGCTGAGCTAAGCTTCAAATTGATGGCCCAAACCCAAGTCCATGGGCCCGAACCTAAATAAGTTGGGTTCACCCCAGGGCGTGGGCAGGCTTCAAGCCACGCCCATTTTTACACTCCTATGTAGCCTTGCTCAAGTCTCTTTTATTTATTTATTTATTTATTTAGGCTTCGTTTGGAAATAGGGTATTTTAGTAATTTTTTAATTTTTTTTTGTTAAAAATGAGAGAAAAAAATTAATGTGTTTAGAATGATTTTTTAATTTTTTATGAAAAGATATATAAAAAGTATAAAGAAAATAAAATTTTTGACTTCTTTATATAGGTTGTTGGATTTTTAATTTTTTTAATAATTTTTTCACTTTTAGACTAAAATGTTGAGTTGTCAAATGGGACTTTATTATAAATTGGCCACTTTAATAGTCAATTTTTAAGTACGAAATAAACCTAGGAATTAATATGGATTTTATTTTAAAAAATTACACTTTAGTGCATTTTTTTAAATGTAAATTAATGATAAATTTTATTAATTTTAATAACTAAAATTATAAATTTTTTGTGTGAATTTATAAATATTTTATGAAAAAGTTATTGATTTATAATTTTTTGGAAAAATTACAGCAAAAAAAAAAAATCCAAAATTTAGCGTGTTTTTCAAATTGTGTTTTTTACATTAACCCTAACATTTTAATCTTAACAATTTAACCTCAGAATTTTTAACTATGTCCCAATGTTGACCCTCCGTTTGTTTCTGTTTATTTCTGTTAACTTTTTATACTTATTTGATACACATATTACCTTTTGATTTGTCCATAATTATTATAATTATTTTATTTATAAATTATTTATTTTTTCTCTCAGCTCACTTTGTCTCTCACTTATTTGATTCGTCCTTATACTTTCTTTCTCTCTCTCTCTCTCTCTCTCTGCAAATCCATTTCTATCCAATACATCCACACACATTATATATATGTGTGTGTGTACTTGACCTGAACCCACCTTGGTCGAGGCGGTTGGCGGCGGAGAAAGATGAGGTGACGGGGCAGAGGAGGGGGTAGGTAAAACGGAAAGGGGGTTTCTGATCTGCTAGAGCTGTGCGTTTCCGGGAGAGTTTCCTGTAGAGAATGGCGAGAAAGAAGGGACAGGCGATGGTGAGGGCTCCAACGAGGATGGGTGGGAGGAGGTTGAAATGAGGATCTGAGTTATGTGAGGGGAGGTCGGTGAGTGGTTTCGACAGTTGTGGCGTCAAAAAATCTAAGAATGATGGCGGCTGCGGTGATAATCAAGCTCAATTTGCCGGTGCCGCGTTCGCTGGCGACGACGATGCGAACGCCACTGCGAACGCCGAAGCTTGCCTTCGCAGCTGCGCCACCTCCAGCCATTCACACTACACACAGATTTCCAAAACCCTAATTTATATAAAAAAAATATATATATATACAAACATCACAGCTGTATCTATATATATGTGTGTGAATATGTGTGAGAGAGAGAGAGAGATTGAAGAAGATGCTTAGAAAAGAAGATTTACCCTTTGGTGCAGACGGGGTTTGTGTTAGATGGTGCAGACGGGGTTTGTGTTAGATGAGACCTCGAGTGGTTGATAACCTTTTGGATTGATTTTGAAGAGATATAGAGAGAGAGATAGAGAGCTGATAAAAATAAAAATAAAAAAGTAATTTAGAAATAAAATAATTATAATAATTATGAATGAATCAAAAAGTAACACATGTATCAAATAACTGTAAAAAGTTAACACAAACAAACGGAAACAGACGAAGGGTCAACATTAAGACACGGTTAAAAATTCAGGGTTTAAATTGTTAAAATTAAAATATTGGAGTTTAATGTGAAAAACACGCTAAATCTTAGGAAATTTTTTTGTAATTTCTCCTATTTTTTTTTCAATTTTTATTTTTTTATGGTCTATAATTGTGATGGGTAAGAACTTGCCCCATGTAGGGGAAAAAATATGCCAATCAATCTTGATGGCTAAGTACAAATATAACTAAAATGAAGAGTTTGCGCAAAAAAAAATTTCACTCGAGCCTTTGTTTGGTAGAATCCCTCATTATATTTGTTTCTATATATCTCTTTTGTCATCTTAAAACAATCATTCTTTTTATCTGGATCATACCTATTAATATTTTTTAGATAGATCTAATTTACAAATTTAGAGAATAATCTAATTCATGTGTCTTATGTATAAATGATCCACGTAATGGTCTATCTCAAAAATAAACAGATCGATTGAGAACCTGCATATCACAAATCTTAGTAGAACTATTTGTTTTATTAGAAGAGTTTCCCAATCACCATAGCAACAATTTCCAATTTTGAGTGAATAATCAAAAGGAAGAAAATGAAAGGCCAATTAAAAACAAAAAACAAAAAACAAAACTGTTGCAAATGTATGAACAATTGTTTAATGGCATTGCAAGTTGAAAAGAATTTCTTTACTTCCTTTTGAGTGTAAATGTATACAATGTATGTGAACAAAAATTAAAACAAAAAAAGATTTAAAAAAAGAAGGAAAAAATGTATGAATCACGCACACATGGTCAATGCCAAAACTATCATGACCCAATATATGGCCCACATATACGAGATTGTTTCCACTCTGACGGCCCAACTTGAAGACGTGTCTGACTCCAACAAAGAGCTAAACTTGAAATTTGGGTTTGACCCGTACAAAGCCTGGACCCCTTCCACATCATCCAGCTTAAGGTCCACCTTCTTCGTCCTCGGACTCAAACTCGGGTACATAACCGCTTCTTTAACAGGCGTGTGGGCTAACCCGAGTACATGCCCGATCTCATGGGTCGCCACCGATTCCAAATCAACGGCCACCTTTGATTTTTGCGACCCAAAATCAACGGCCCACGTCTCCGCCGCGTCCAGGTGGAACCTCCCGTTTTCCGGCGAGAAAGCGTGGGCCAGGATTCCCAACACCCCATCGAACGGCTCTCCGTCGCCGTGATCGCCGTGATAAAACCCAATTTTAATATCCGCCGTCCAATAATCCTCCGCCGGGGTGAAGTTCACCGGAATCACCGCGGACCACCGCGAAAACGCCCTCTAAAAAACCGAGTAAAAATTCAATGTAACGGTAATACTAAAAATGATTGGACGATGATATCACTGTTGTATTCAAGTTTTGTACCTGAAAAACCGAATCTATATCGGATTGAGATAAATAATCGATTGTGTAGTCCGGCGAGAAGGCGTACGATAAGTTCATCGGAGTAGACGGTCGGACCCACCTCGGTTTGCCTTCGAAGTACGCGTAGTGACGTGTCACGTGCAGCGCCCGCGACTTGTCGTCGGAGATGCCGCACCGAGGGGAGATGATCTGGGTCACGGTGTCGGAGTCGAGTTTTCCCGTGACGGCGAGTCCGAGGTTCTTCTGGTACGAAAGGACGGCGTTTTCGAAGCGATCATCGAAGGAATCGGTGAAGTTTGTTTCGGGGATCGGGTCGAGGTACCCAAACCGCTGGAAGTACTTCTTCAGCTCCGACATGCCGGTGACGTGGCAGCCCTTGCTGGCGTCGACAAATCGGGTAAAGTTGAGCCACGTGTCGTATTGGGTGGCGGTTATTTCGGTTACAGGGTCTGGTATTGGTCTGGCGGGAAAACCAGGAGGGAGGGAAAGGAGGAAGAGGAGGGAGAAGAAGAAGAAGAGGGGGGTAAAAGAGTCATAAAAGAAAAATAGAAACATGGTATGGTGTGGTGGTAGTTATTTTGGGATTTGAGCCTTTTGGGGGTTTTGGAGGGGTGGAGAAAGATTTATTAGGACTAAAGAAAATTTTAAGACTAGTCTGCTGTACAAATATATATAGATACATATATGTTGCAATGATATATAAGGTGTGTTTTTGTGGGAAACATAGTTAAAGATAAGATGGATACACAAGAAATGAAGGGAAAGTTGGGAAGATTCTTTGGTGTGCGCCTTCTCAAATCAGATTCTGACTTTTATGGTGCAATGGTGGGTGAACCACTGGCTCTCTCTCTCTCCTCTTTAATTTTACTAGATTTTGTTTAAAGACTAATTTTGGAGGTCTTCAGGTTTACATGTCTACTTACTTTTCTTTTCTTTGTTGATTTTGTTACTTTGCCTTCGTTTGAAAAAAACTTGTTTAGTTTATTTTTTTTTATTGTATTAGTATGACTAAAAATATTTCATTTGAAATAAACTTTTATTTTTTTATAATTTTGTGGGAGAAAAAGTAAAATAATTATAATTTAAATATAATATTTTGTATTATTAATTTTTTAACTTATTTTATCTTTTAGTGAGCTAATTTAATCCTAACCAACTTGTCAGACAGAGCCTTTGTGCGTGGAGAAGTTATTTGATGGTTTGGGACATACTTTTTATGTGGTGTCTTAAAAATATTGTGATTGGTGGAAAGAACAACTTACGCTTCTGTGTTGGGTGGTCATGAAAAATAGCAGAAGGTATGATGTTTGGTGATTGATGAGAAGTGTTGTCAGGCGATGCTCTTGGACCTCTAAATAATTTTTTGTGCAAGGCATTTGACAATTTAGATTTTTGATTAAAAAATTCTTAATAAGTCAAATCATACACAGCAGTTATTCATATTTTTATCCTCAATTAAAAATTTACTAAAAAAGTCAAATTTCAAACGATATCTGAAGAGTAGATAAAAAATGTATATTATTTCAAGCTTATTAATAGTGTTCTTCTTCTACTTCTTCTTCTTCTTCTTTTTTTTTTTATTTAATTTGGATTAATAAGTCTTCTTAAAACACTTGTTAACAACCACACAAAAAAATAAATAAAACGAAGATGCAAAATATGTGGCTAAAAAGTGAAATGTATAGAAGAAATTTATTTCACATCACAGCAAGTTCAAATCTATATTATATTTTTTTTTTCTTTTTTTTTTCATGTGAAAAGAAAATTGATACATTTGTGTCCTGTTAATTGGATAGAAAATTATAATTATCATCAGATAATTTCACTATTTTGTCACATTTTACCTTGATTCACACAACAATCATAATGTATATATAAAATATTTTATGTCCAAAGTAGATTTTTTTTCAAAGGGTCTTTCTTTATCTCTCTAAATGAATTTTTAGTCGCCAAGGGGGGGGGGACTCATTATGCATGAACAGAGTCACATAAGAAATGAAGAAAACCAGGTAAAATACTAACCCATGTCTTGTAACTCTTGTTTATATAATCCATATGTTTAGTTAGGATCTTGCTCTGTTTGTTGACCAAATTGGGTGGTTTTTAACCCTATATATATCACTATCGATGGAGTCATGAACTTGTTATACAAGATAATAATATATATGATCTCTGACTAATTGTTGTGATATACATAACTGATTAGTCACGAATCTAAGAAATATTATCTGGTGGAGTAATAATAAATTAGGAAAATCTGAAAATATATTCAATATATGTTTCACAATTGTTAAGAAAGTCATATATTTTTTCTTTAATTTTGTTTTTGTCATTAATGATTTTTTTTTTTTTTTTCAAAGTGTGTCAAAACTCAGAAGTTTTTACATTTTAGGTTTGTCTGATTCTAGAAGTATCTAGTAAAAAAACGAAAGTGTCCACTAAAAACAAAACCAAAAAAATTTGAAAGTGGGTTTTGTTTGTTTGTTTTTTTAATTTAGTGAGCTTTATTATTATTTTTTTGTGGGTCATGATCTATTTTGTTAAATGGGACATGAAAGTGAAAAGTTTTTAATTTTTTTTTAAAAAAAATTCACTAAAGACAAAAACAAATCAGCAATAAAAAGCATAGCTCAAATGTGTTGTATAGTTCAAATCGATCACGTTGACACAATGAAACACTAATCATAGAGTATATTAATAGAATAATGTTATATGTATGGATTAGTATATTAATTAGTGTATTAATTGATGAGATAACATAATTTAAGAAGTTTTTGAGATTTGTAATGTGATTAATGAGTGGGGTCAATAATAATGTTATAACTAGTTAGTATACTTATTGATTTATGTAACACCACTGATATTAATATGTATGGATGAGTCTTATGAGTGAAACATTAATAATTATATTATTATAATTGTTTATTAAATGAACTAAATTTATTATTTTTCTAGTTGCTTTTTTAAGTAATCCTCTTTTGTTATTTTGTGTTTTGTTTTGTTTTATTTTGTTTTGTTTTTCTGTATTTTTGTGTATTGGTAAGAAATAATTTTCAAATATAACGAGAACTAAATTAAATTGAACATTAATCAACTAAACAAGAAAATTCAAACATATAACAGTTCAACAAAAAATTAGGTCATTAAATTCAAGACCTTAACTACGATTGTAATGAGTTCAGATGAACGGGTCATTACAACATTTTTTTAATTTAGTGACATTTGAAAGTGTCACAAAATTATTAGTTTAATGACATTTTTTAGTCTTGTGGCATTTTGAACAAATGTCATTTGTATCCGTGCCACGATAGATACTTATAAGTGTCACTACACCATCATAGCTAAAAAGCTTCAATGACATTTTGATGTCATGGTAGGCACTATTTGTGACGATAATTCATTGTGGAACAATTTGATTCGCTCTTGCGGAGACTCGAACCGCCAACCTCTCGCACCATAAATCTCATACACCACACTCTTCCCACTACACCTCTATAGCACCACATGATTATATATGCAACATATATTATTTATATAGTACATACATCCATATTAATATAAAAGTATATGTATAAACATAATTATTTTATTGAACATAATTTATGTAAAATAAACTATTTACTAGCAAAATAAAAAATAAAAAAAAAAACCACTTTTGGCTACTAATTGTTTTTTAGTTGCTAAAACACTTAACTTTGGCAGACCAAAATCGGATTTGGTCGCCAAAGATACACTTTCAGCTACCAAAATTTTGGTCGCCAAAAAATTTAATTCCCACCTTAAGATTTTAGTCCTCCCACGCTAAAAATAACCACTTTTGGCGACTAAACTTATTTTTTAGTTGCCCATTGTAGACTTTTGGCTTCTAAAATTTTTTTAGTCACTAAAAAGTTTTACTTTTAGCTACTAAAACTTTTTTAGTCGGTAAAACCCATATAATCACCGACCAAACTTATTTTTAGTCGCCAATTGTAGACTTTTGGTTACTAAATTTTTTAAGTCGCCAAAAAGCTTTACTTTGAGCTACTAAAAATTTTTTAATCACTAAAAACCATATAATCAGCGACCAAACTTAGTTTTAGTCGCCAATTGTAGACTTTTGGCTACTAAAATTGTTTAGTCGCCAAAAAGCTTTACTTTTGACTACTAATGCTATTTTGGTCGCTAAAAACTATACTTTCAGCAACCAAATTTTTTTGGATCAGGAAATTTAGTCGCTGAATGTACTTTTTCCTGTAGTGTATATTGAGTTTAATTAATTTATTTTTAATAATTTACTGCATTTTAAAAATTTAGAAAATATATTGGCATTTTTTGTTTTTTCAAAAATGCCATTACAAACTTGGAAAGTTTTTGGCTTAGTAGCATTTCTCAAAATGTTATAAAATATTTGTTTATGACACTTTTCACGTAAGTGCCATAAAAAAGTAATTTGCACCTATCTAGTGTCCTAACATTTTTAAAAAAATGCTATTGCTACTAAAGTTTAGTGGCATCTGTTGGTAAATGTCACAAACATAATTTTTTGTGTCATTATTTTATAAAATGCCATAAAATTGATGTGACATTTTTTTATTGAAATGTCACTAGAGCCTTATATGTTTGTGGCTCTGTGGCATTTTTCTAAAATATTTAATGCCAATTTTTATTTTTGTGGCATTTTCTAAAAACATGCCACTAGTGTAGTGTCGCTAAAGTGTAAATTTGTTATAGTGACATTTTTGTTGTAGTGAAGTGACACTTTTTTTAATTGAAATGCCACTAGAGCCTTGTATGTTTGTGGCTCTATGACATTTTTCTAAAAAATGCCACCAAATATTCTTTTTGTGACATTTTTTAAGAACATGCCACTAGTATGGTGTCACTAAAATGTGTTTTTGTTATAATGGGTCGTGACCCCTTATGATTTTCTCTTAATTCCGTCTCTAAATATTGTTAAACAAATATCAATAAATTACATAAGTGTCAATCTTTAATTATTTTTTACATTATTCAATCAACAACATTTACCAATTCATACAAGAAGTTGATTTTAAAAATAACGCCCAATTAATACATATTAATATATGTTTGGAAAAAAAAAATTAAGTATATATCTAACTTTTAGCGTAATATACAAAGTGATGGTCTCAACATTTAAACTCATAACCTCAATAACCTTAAGTTATTAGTTTAACGTTATGAGTTTAAGTCTTAACACAAGAAGTTGATTTTATCAAATTATTTCCTCTTCAAGATTTCTTTTTTTGTTCATGTCTTTTTATTTTCCCAGTTACAATATTCTTGTCACCAAACACGTCACTTCCACACTTGGGATTGTTTAAACATTCATTCAAAACATTTTGCTTAAGCCTCTGTCTGCCAAGTTGAGGTTGAGGTTTTTTTGGTTAAAATAATCACAAAAAAATAAAATAAATTTTTTTAGCTTAATAAGATATAATAATACATCTAACTCATAAGTATTACATTCTTTCTCTCATAAAAAGTTAAAAAAATTAAAAAAATCATTCCCAAACAAAAATTTTTAATTCCAAATTAAAATAGACAAAAAATTAAAAAATCAACCTTCCAAACCAACCCTAATTCAATTCAAACAAGTTATTAATTATTAACCTTCAAGTGTGTGCTTGTGTGTGAGAGAGAAAGCATAGCATAGGGACATTACACGCCTAAAGTCTTTTTTTTTTTTTTGAGAAACTTCCAAGTCCTCTTTAGTTTTCGCTTTCAAAGCAAGAAGCTATTTGCATGACCAATTCTCAGTCTATTATTTCTTATGGGTAATTACATCTTGGCCCCTAAAGTGTGCTTTTTGTATGAGCAAGAAATAATGTTATCGTTTAATTC